AGGACCTATAATGATGGTTTATTTATTTCTATAGGTGCTGGCTGTTCTGTCTTTTTCCATGTTATTATAGAAATATGGCCGTTAATGAACCGGAAGCATCCGTCGCTTTTGCAGGGACCGTATTCCCTTACTGCTAATAGGCATGTAATAATGCTTAATAACAGGATGTGATTCATCATCTCAAACCTTTCCCAGCTCAGGTTGTTATTCCAATATCATTCTTTCTGCACATCATCTTCCATGAGAGAGGGCACGTCCACGAGCGATGGTCACAGACAATGCGTGTGATATCTGTTTCCTGTTGAGCAAGAAAACGCACCCTCCCCCAGTGCCCCCACCCCAACCCACCACAGCCGCTGGGGGCTTTGTGCACAGCTGCCTCGAACCGTCGCTCACCCGTGAACCCCCCCCCCCCCCCCCCCCCCCCCCCCCCCAGATCCCCCCCCCCCCCCACGACAGCTAATCAGACTGCCGGGCCTTGATTCAGACCCGGCTGGAAGGGACGGCGGAAATAATATGCGAGGAATGCTTCCGGGTGCCAGGGGAGAATCTGGGACAGACGGGGAAGTCACTCCCCAGGCTTCAATAGGGCCTCCAAGCCACCGTCGGCACGAGTCACCTGGATGGAAGGCCACCGCAGAGGGGCAGCGCGCCCAGCAGACGTGAGCTGCCACCGGCTGAAGTGTCTCATATGAGGCTCATTTCAATCTTGATCGGTAACAATAACGTGAAGACAAGACAACGCCATCCGTCTCCATTACGGGGACAGTGTTTTCTCCCAGATTATCCACTCTGTCGTGTTCTCCTCAAGTTCCAAAGGGGATGCTGTCTCATACATCATTTTCTCACAAAGGTTGAAAGCCCCCCTGCGGGTTGGGGGTGGACGGGGCTCTTCCTGCCTACTGTCCCCCCCTTCGGGTCTGTCTACCTTGACAGGGACGGCTCCCAGCTACAAGGGGGGAATTAGCATAGCAATGGGGGAAGGCTGGACACCGCCAAGCGACTCTGCAGCACCAAACGTCACGGCGTTCCCGCTCTCGCTGGATCCCGGGCAAATGGGGACCCCAGCGGAGATGATCATGTTCTCGGGCATCCACAGCAATCCTAGATCACACTATCTTGTTAGCCAGGTTTTCTCAATTCAAGGCTTGGCTGCACATAGACCCCTGTTATTGCAGCAGGACATATTTAAGGTTGGAGAGATGTTTTCAAGCAATTACTGAACGTAATGTCAGATTTAAACAGGAAAAGCATTTATTCAGTGGCAGGTTATACATCATTAATCTGAGTGCCATTTTTTTTTGCTGCAGAGATACCCCCAAAATAATCACACTGCGTTGCTTCTGCAAAGAACTTGTTCATTCCATCAATCTATTCCATCAAGCAGCTGTCGCCATGCCGTTTTTTCAACTTGTATTGTTGGCGATTGGGCAACATGTGTCATCCTTTCTAATCTGAAGCATTTTAATGGCCTTGTTCCACTTCAGAAGCTGAGCATGAGAGCCAGCGAGGCAGTTCGGGGCCCAGGGTGATACGTGCCTGCTGTGATAGATAGGACATTACCAAAGTTGTCAGGACCTGTTGCTCAAAACACACAGCCTTAGCGGACAACTTCATCTACAGTAGACAGAAACCGATTGGCATAGTCTGGTCCACTGGTGCCAGTTTAGCAGAAATGGATTTAACGCTTTTTATGTCAACGTGAGCCTCCAGTCGGCAGGATGTTTGCATTGCTTTTTCCGATATGCATTAATGAGGACGGACTTCCTCCTCTGTCCCACATGTGTTGTGGTGTTTAAGGTCAGCCCTTCCTTCCAGTCTGTTTTCAACATTACAAATCCCGCTGGTGTCGGTTTAACTTGAGAACACGCGGCTCGCATCTTCAGGGGTGAAGAACTAAAGCCGGAAGAGGGCCAGAGAACCCAGCTTTGCTTTGCACTCCATAGACAGAGGGACCATTTTGTCTCTTAAACATTATCATACAATACACTCTGTAGCTACCACAAGATTATTATGCTACGCTATACCTGTGCGTAATTTGAAAACAATGTTTCACTGTTTGATCAGTAGCTTTAAACAATAAATGTAAAAGGTCCATTGTATTAATTACAGGGTTTTTATTGTGATTTATTGTGAATCGCCGCTATTCCATGTTACTTAGTAATGTGAGACAGCAAACTGTAGATTTCCTCATATTTACGTGAGATTAAAGATGCTTGAATGATTATGCTATACACAAAACAGCTAGTCAACTTAGGTGTCATGAATTGCCCATTCATAAAATAAAGAATCAACGGTGAAGCTCCTTCATAATGAATGTGGCATGTCAACGTACGGAACAAACATTTGCATTACATTGCAGCTAGAAAAATATGCAGACATTTTTCCTTCAAGCCGGGCCACTTATGAATTTTCATAAGTCCGCGAATTGGTAAAATATTTCGACGACAGTGGGGGTGTTTACAGTCCTTGGAAATCAATAATGAACTCGTTTGGGTGGAGGAAAGAGTGAGTCCTCTTGGAGTAAGGGCCAGATCATGCAAAGAGTTATAATGACAGAACAGAACGGCTGCGAGTCACGCGTAACAATGGGAACCTTCATGCATCCATAAGCAATTAGAAAGTCATAAATGCAGCGCATGCTGATTTCACAATCGAAAAGAACGAGTCTGCTTTTTGCGGATTCTTGGCCACATCTCCGGACAAAGCATGAAGCCTCTCTTCTTGACTTCTGTGCAATGTCAGTCATGCACATTTTAAACAGCAGCGAATAATGTTTCCTTTCTTCTGTGAAACATTAACGGGCTGGAGGGAAAAACTCTTATTTAGAAGGAAAAAAAAAACTTGCCTCTGCTTGGACCAACTTACGAATCACAAATGTATTTGTCAGGAATGTCCCCGGATTGTGGGACAGACAAAAAGAAATGTTTGCCTCTTGTGCTCAGATTAACGGCATTCTCACAAGATCGTATTAGTCACGTTCAACTCGACTGCACTCACAAAGGACGCTGAACCGCAATGAGCGGTCAACAATTACATACGGCTGCAACTGTGTGTGCTCAAAGATGTCTTAAGATTATTAAATGCCACCAGGGTCAGAAGTTATAACCGGTCCCTTCATAAGCTTGTTAATACGGATGCATATATAAAAAAATATGCATTATTATGGTACATTTTCACAAGACTACATCGTCTGATTGACTGGATGTGAGTATATTAACAGATTTCCAGTAGTATGTCATAATTTTACATAAAACTTGAATTGCATCTAATATGTGCACTAGACTAATTGATAATAATATTCTTTCCCTTCTTGAGATCTTAAATGAATTACTTGATGGAAGTGGAATTAAGATGTTGGTTGGGTTTTCGAGGAAGGGAAGAGGTAGCGTGATGCTAACAGTGGTCAGCACTGTTTTCTCTCACCTCTGGAACAAGGGTTTGAGTCTTGGCCAGGGTTCCCTGTTTGTGAAGTTTGCACGTTGTCATTATGGGATGTATTCTGGTTTGCCCCTGCAGTTCAAAAACATGCTGAGGTTAATTGGAGTTATCAGATTGCCCATAGGTGTGCATGTATGTGTAAATGGTGAGTGTGAGTGTGCCCTGTGATGGGTATGTACCCCATCCTGGGTTATTCCCCTAACCTCCAGACCTTGAATGGGATAAGTGGCTACAGAAAATGGGTAGCAAGTGAAGCGACCTCATTAATGTCCAGGTGAACAGTGCCTGTGCACAGGGCATGTAGCATTAGCAATCAGATACCACAACCCTTAGGTCATGAAATCATCCATTTTATTACATCATTATTGCTTTGAACATTACAGACACAAACCAATTGGTATCCAATAAATCCTGGCCAATGGCAATGTGAGCAAGATAAGGGGTTAGGAGATCCATGAGTGGAGAGATGACAAAACAAACCTAAAAGCATATCTAAGCCTGATTTCTCATGGAGCTTAAATACCATGTTGATTTATAAAAAGCGTGTGTGTATACTTGCTGCGCCATACTGGGTTAGTGTGGTTGGACGCATGCAAATATGTGAAATATGCAAATGTTATATACATATTTTACATATTTAATGTGGCTGTATCTTTGAAATAGTCTTTATTCAGCTTCCTGCTACACATATTCCATGTTCCATGTCACATTTGGAAGGAAGCTGAGGCAGTGCTGCCCACTGTGTGATTTGGTGAAGTGTGAAGTGGGATCCATATGGAAATCCAAGCAAAATACTTTTTTTTAACTTGGCCAGAGAACAAGATCCCCTGAACCAGGATGTCTGTGGGTTAGAGCTCCATGCCTGTAAATAGAGCTTGAGCACGACTCTTAACAAGATGGAATATGTCAAAACTACCTGCTTTCCCCGCAGGGACTAATAAAGTATCTCTATTTAAATTTCTGTACATAGAAACTGTGAAGGGGGGGGTCATTCCATTGCTCAGCAAATACAAATGTTTTTCCTTTCCACTGGATTAAATACTACAAATCTGGGTACGTGCTAACTCATATGGAGTGTTGACAGCAATGTATTAATTAAATATTAATCACTTTTAAAAATGCAATACATATGCCACTAAACTTATTCAAATGAAATGACACAAATAAATTGTGTGAATTGTTATTTTAAAGTTACGTCATCCTTTTTTGATTTCGGTACTTTACAGCTGACGTGATTGCATTCTGTATTATACAAAGTGCAGCTTGGACGATAAGTTAACTTTGACGGAGGGTGAATGGCCTAGTTGGCCTTGCCCTCTGTAAAACTCGAGCGCGATCTTCGTCTGTGGGAATTGTAGTGTGATAATACTAAAATAGGTATTCCCTCAACCAATATAAAAATTATTTATGGTATTAATAAAGGACTTTCACATACATTTTTCCGACATTGGAACTACTTCAAACATATACATTTTGATACACTAAACTAATTAATAGACCTATATACATATTGAAAATTGACTTCATTTCCCATAGTTCAACACTTGATGCACGCAGGCGCTTCTGTGGACGTGTAGAATCCATGGCCGCGAATGGGGTGGAAAATAAGAGGGTGTGTGGATTATGACTTACATCCAGAGGATAAACGGTATATTTTATTTTTTCCGCATTGCACTTTACTAGTTCCTATTTGCGGTAATTTTGCGATAGTCCGATCGGAGTCTGCGCCAAGGTTGCCTGTTTGCAAAGGGTTCGATCTGCTAAGATAACTGCAAGGGGAAGCTTTGCGTCTCCCCTGAGAGCTGAGATCGCCACTATCCGCCTATATGATGCCGCGGGATAACACGAGTTCTCTTATCCAAAGAATTGCAAGACAAGCCCATGTTACTTATAAAAACACGGGCTCATCTGCAAGCGGGGCCAATAATAAAGTATTTTTAGAGGACCACAGTAAACTTTGTAACCTTTTAAATGAAATCAAGGCGGCGGATCTAAAAATTGCACCAAGGAAAAGAAGGAGTTCTAAGTCTCTGGGTAGTAGTCCTCCGGTCACGTACATGCACATATGCGAAACGAATGGTTTTAGCATGGGGGTGTTTCTGCTGAAGACGGGATCCTCCATCCCGCTGCACGACCACCCGGGGATGAATGGCATGCTGAAAGTCCTCTACGGCAAGGTCAGTATCAGGTGCTTCGACAAGGTGGATGAGTCACCTGCTGCCGGGACTGAGGCGCGTTTCCATCCCCCGTTGCTGCCCTTTCAGAGGGAAACTTTGCGAAGGTCGGTGTTGGGCTCCGTCTGCGAGATTTCCGAGGACAGCGGTCCCTGCATTCTCACCCCCCAGAAGGACAACCTACATCAGATCGATGCGGTGGACGGACCGGCAGCTTTTTTGGACATACTGGCACCCCCGTACGACTCCGATGACGGGAGAGACTGTCACTATTACAAAATTCTCCGGCCAGTTTTGGAGAACGCGGATGAGAAGCCGGAGCAACAGGAGGACGAAATGTGGTTATTAGAAATCCCACAGCCGGGAGACTTCTGGTGTGGTAGCGAGCCGTACCCTGGCCCCAAAATTTCTATATAAATCAAATTTTTCTATGAAAAATGTAAAAGACACGCGACTTCATAAAGGGAAAGGAATTCCATTCTGCTGAATGTGCGTCATCGGCGGAACAGTGACAGTTGTTTACTGGACATTTCTCAGGACATGCTTGCTTCATGGATTATTCTCTTGTATACACATTATGCATTTAATGCTGAATATTTAGCGGGCTTTTGGCAATATGTAGCCACTGTGACCGTCGGCTGTATCCCAAGGGAGATGTTTTCTGTAGCGACACAATGGACGAAGTGAAAGTCGTCAAGGAACTCTGTTTAATTAATTTACGATAATTGTTGTCTGTATTGTATCCTGAATGTGCTGTACATCGTCTTATTTTCCATCACTCGAACACCAAAATACAACCTCTCATCTAGGCAAAATATATAATTTTTTAGAACACTATTAGGTACTCTAAGGCTACATAGGCCTACCAATTGTCATCAAGTAATATTTAAGCAATAAAATATCAAATTTTTAATTCTTTGTCCTCACTTCTGTGAACCCTATAATGATATAGCGAGAAATGTTGACACACAGCCGTTGCAAATGTAACGCAAATGCCTTGTATTGTTTATGTACATTTACAATAATGCATTTTTGTAGGAAAACTGAAATAGATTCTTACAAGTCATTTTGAGTGATTTAATGTTATCTAAATATTAACTTCTAAACTGTTTCGCAACAGTTATTCTTTCCTTTCCTTATACGTTCACTCTTGCGTTCTGCATAAACAGGTCGCGCACAGGCCATTCCGCACAGTAGTTGTCTATTTCTCCATGTGAAGTTTGCCGATTTCCTTGTTCCTCCGTGCTCGTCTCATTTCCTGGGTGATTTGCTGAACTGGCAGAAAGTACTGCTCTTTTAACCACTGTCTTTCATCCCAATGTCTCGGTCCTTTGAGGCCCGTTTTGCCACCGGCGTTTTCTGAAGTGGCATCAGCGTGGCACCGCAGGCTCCTTAAATGACTAAGATTGAGTAGTGCGCTGCGGGGAATTGGAATAAGCACTTTAAACACCCAAAACTGATAGCTACTATACCTACAAATGATCGGTTCCGAATTTACGAGTGGAGTGGAAAGAACCCGACTTCTAGAGGTTCAAGATTGGTTTGAACTGCTCTGCTTTTGGTGTCCAACCGGCCATAATTACACCAAATTGAATGCATTGGGGCAATTATAAATTGTATATGTGTATTTTATCGAGGCAACGAAAAAGCGCTATTGCATTAGATAGTTGCACGGAGTTACGACAGTTGGGACCAGAATTGGTCTTAACTGCAAGCTAAATTTTGCAGCTTTTTTGTAGAGGGTAGAACTTATCGATTTTAATCTTTTTGGCCCCGTTTTACTGTTCTAACTCATGTAATGCGCCTTAAAGTGCATTGCAATTACATTCAGCATAATTGCGCTTAATTGCCAGTCAGGAATTGCAAAGCCCGCTTTGTGACGTAGCCGACGGACAGTCCGAGCCCTACATCGATCGTACGGCTCTCAATGACTGTTTTATGCTGCCCCGAAGCAGATTTTAAAGTTGATATGTTTCTTTTATTTCCTATGAATACAACAATTGAGAGGCTCGGTTCGTTGGCTTCAATACTGATGCACAGACAAGGGTCTCTTCTGTTTGAATTACAGTTGGCTGCTTCTTAATTTCCCAGGCCGAACCTCTGCAGTTCTCAGTGCGAAACTTTTAGCTTAAGAGCCTTATGTTTGGTCCGTATATTTTACTTGTAACGAATTACTGCATGGTATAGCTTTTGTATTTTATTCTTGAAACTCTTGCATATATTGACTATACTCGGCACAGATACAGATTAGGACTTATGAATTCATAAAACAAATTGTGCTTCGCGCGAAACGTGCGAAGTTTTGACCTCTTGGACAGGTTTTCAATGTTTACTAATGAATAGTTAAACGGAAAAAATTATATGTGAGGCCCATACATGCAGTTTATTCATAACCAAATGTCCGATTTTATTTATTTTTACTTCCGAAAACGGTTACCCGTGCACCGGTGAAATATGAAATGTTTGTTTTTCGTTTTATACAATGTCAATCAATGTGCTAAATATATAGGCTTTATGAAACACTGGACGTTTAAACGACGGTTTGTGTTTCATGGTAAATTCCGGTAAAAGAATAACCGTGAAAAGGCGAAGCCCGAAGTGCGTGTCCTGTAACCTCGGTCTCCGCGCCCGACCGCACCGCTTCTGCCTCGATAAAACATCTTACCAAAGTAAATTCCTCCACACGTTGGTCCGTTTGCGTGGCCTCTGAACCCACAACGCTCAGTCTTTAGCAGTTAACTGAGCCTAAAAGTACACATTACTGTCAGAAAAAAAGGGTAAAAAATTGCGCCTTGCTTGTCTGAGGCTGTATCCTCAAGGGTCCGCCAATTGTACCCATACTGTAGCTGTAGGTCTTTTTACCTCTTAAGGTGCAGAAATCGACTCTTAGAACATTTCTGTACCATGGATGGTATATTAATGCTATTTGTACCTTTGGGATGTTCCTCAAAGTCAATTTCTGTATACTTTAAAAGGTACAATTACAAGGGTACATTTTTCTTACCCTTTTTTCTGAGAGTGATCTAGTATATGCAAAAAAAACCGTTAACTATGACTCCAGTTCTTAAAATAGTTTATTATCTATTCATACATAACATTGATCCCCCCGAAGAGGAAATATTTGTTATTCAACAGCATTAGGCCTATAAAATAAACCCTACTACAACTATGTGTCCATCCATCCATCTCACCATCCATCCATCCATGTAGTCTACTGCATGTATGCAGTAAGGGTCAGGGTGCATATTATTATTATTATTATTACTATTATTGTTATTATTATTTATTATTCATTGTCATTATTGGATCCAGTCTTGATTAATATGACACATTTCCGCTTTTATTACCAGGCTATTCTTCCCATTCTGGTGAAGATTTGACATTAATTTTGGAAAAAAAATGTTGACGCTCATTTAAATATTTCTCTTTGTCTTATATGTTGTACATATATGGTATCATGTATATCTACACGATAAACTTCCGCATCGATTGTTCTTGAACTGAGTCGCATCTTTACATAGGCACTGGAGAAACTTCCAGTTCAAATATAGTGTAAACAGCCCAGTGAGTGGGCGCTTTCACTTGTTAATGAGTCAGAGGTGACTTGTATCTCTGGGTATTCCCCCTAATAAGGCTATACTTTTAGCGCTTGTGTCTGATTTCTTTAGCTATATAACTAGAGCAGTCAGCCACAACAACAACAGAGGTCTCATAAACTACTTTTAGTTTTGTTCAAAGTTGTTTATTTTGTTGAGGTGACACAAACAGTATATTATTTTAATTATGCTGTCATGCCGGTCCACCGTTAGTAATTTTGCTCTAAATACATTCCAGTTTTTTACGCTTTCACAGCAAACACCACGTCCTCAAGAGTAATAAAGTATTTACATTTTTAATGTTTATACTACAAATCCAACACATTCGGAAAGAACACGAAACAGCGTTTACAAAAATATATCATTCTAAAATTTTGATATTAATTGATGAATATTATTATACATTTCAATTACAAACGCGCTATGAAATACATACAAAACATGACAACTGGCAAAACAAGGAAGAAACAACAAGTTTGTTAACACCGACACATTTTACCTTTTAAATAACTTTAAATAAAACATTTGGAATTATTGCGAGTTTACTACTGTTAATGTGGTACCATTTTGACTCACATATTATTTGTGCTGATCAGACTGGTTCCTAACAGTGCAAACTGTTTTACTATTAGAACCAACAGCAAAGATGCCATCAATCTCTTATACTATATTATCATTTGTCACCCAGAAAAAAAAGTTCACTTGGCCGTGTTTTTTCTATTTCATTATAATAATTAATTTCGATCCACGTATGAATGATATTAAACTGACAAACAGCAATCTGGAAGTAAGATGTGCAGGTGCCAACTGACGGTAAACACGGTAAAAATAATGTGGACTTGGTCACTGCTATTTTGCTGCACGCGGGCAGTGATATTTCTATCGTTTTTTCCTTCTTGTACCATCGCCTTGATTTTGTTCTCATCGGGATTGTAACATACAAAGCGTCACACCTAAACTCCCCGGGATGGACATGAAGGCAACTGGGCAGAGCCCGAGCTGCAAACCCCACCAGCGGATGTACTAATAGCAACGGAGCGATCGGAGTTCGTGTTTGCTGAGGGTACTGATGAAGACTTTCTTTCTTTTTGCCTTAGGTGAATTTTGGTGTGCCTCTTCCGCTCGTCGCTCCTGGCGAATTTTCTGCCACAGAAGTCACAGGCAAAGGGTTTCTCGCCGGTGTGAGTGCGGATGTGAGTGGTGAGGTGGTCGCTGCGGCTGAAGTTTCTCATGCAGATCCGGCACTGGAAAGGTTTGTGTCCCGTATGGATTCGGATGTGCCTCGTGAGCTCGTCAGACCTAGAGAATCGCCTGTCACAACCTTCTGCTGGGCAGGGATACGGTCGTTCATGAACTGGGGTCTTGCTTGGTCTGTTGGGGTATTTCCTCGGTCGGAGTATTGGTCTTAGAGGCAAATTTTGGGGGCTGTAAGCTGTAGGTAGTCTTGGTCCTTCTGAAGCTGGTCCGCCTAATGTAAAATTCCTAATAGTGTTCAGAGGAGTCAAGGGCGGTGGTACCCTAAAGGACTCCAGTGGGCATGAAAAAGGTTTTCTGTCCGGGATGGTAGGCATGTCCCGTTGGCAAGGGGGTTGGAAAAAACCGGCATAGTCGGGGATAATAGGAAATAGACCGCTGTCCGTGGTTGGCTTCGGCGACGAGTAGGACGGCGGAGGGTATGAGATGGGGCAAGTGGTGGTTGACAGAAAAGCAGACGGATCCTGGTAGACCTCCGGGCAGCCAGAATAAGGTGGAGGGGGAGAGTAGATGGAGTCCATGTCGGGAGGGTTTTGCGCCATGGTGCAACTCAAGGTGCTGGAGAAGTGGTTTGGTGAGACAGAAGAAGCTGGTGAAGAGGACGCCGAGGAGGGTTGGGTCATGCCAAGGATCCCAATGTTAATGACGCTCTCTGGATTCCAGTTACCTGGATACTGGGAATCAATTGAGAACTTTCCCATGTAGGTGAATGGCTGGTTGCGAGCAGCTGAGGGCTGCGAGAAGCTGCTGGTGTAAGACAAATCGAGGGATCGTTTCTCTGTGCTCATGTCCCCACTGATTAAACCATCTGTGAAATGAAACAAAGTACTTGTTAGTGACAGATCACAGCTGCGTCCTATTGCGCATGAGTGTGTTGTGCCGTTGCGCGTGTTTATCCACTACATAGTAAATATCCCGGAGTTTTAGTTGGCTGCATTGAGCAGTAGACCTGGGAATATACCCCGGAATGCAATTTAACCATGCTGTTTCTGTCATTAATTAATGGCACTTTTTTTTCTTTTGTTCTTGGAGAAGTATATCGACACTCCGGCATTACAACAGATTGGTTTTCTGCAATTAAACATTTGTTGTATTTGTTTGCGGTATATGTTTACACGATATATAATGACGCAAAAATGGCACTATAGACCAAACGAATGGATGCAACAGACATGCAAGTTTTACAGCACGGAAAATCGTAACAAGTTTTACAACCAATGCTTACCTCCTGAAGCTCCACTAACATGATCGTAAGGCCCATTTAAATCAGCATTTGGAAAAATTACAGAGGCTGCCAGTGATGTGGTGATATCGTCCACTGAATAGATGCTCTCGGAGAGAGGATGCACAAAACCACTTAGCGTTACAGGGGTTTTCTCGAGAGTTTTTGCTGTCATCGCTTCGCCTAAAACTGCGCTTTTTATAAGCCGTTAGTGTGAAGTTATTTTACCGACTAGCTAATCCTGTGATTATTCTCCCTTACTAGCTGTCATCTAATCTGCTCTAGCACGCTGTAGTGTAAACACAGCTTTTTAAGTCTCTCTGGCTGATCTGTTTGGTCAATGACAGATCTTGGTCGCTTGCTAGAGGCACTTTGTATTTATGTGGGAATTTTTTGAACGTACCGTGACGTCGCTGACCATATAAGGACTGGATGACAAAAAAACGTGCTGGGATTGGCCTGAAGCTTCATGACGGCACACTAAAATACTTCTCAATGGAGAACCCTCGAATGACAGCAAGATTTAGATACGCATATACACATCGATCTTAAGTTTTAAATGTTTATGATTGCAATAGCTGTGAAACAAAAGACAGGAGTCATTCATATTTGTTGGCCAAAACAAAAACAGATGTACAGATAAATATCCGTCTAAAAGCTAAATTATTTATCACTTACTTTGAGGAAGTCCGGTTTATCTATCTCTCCATAAAAGGTTTTTATCCGGTGATTTAAAGCACACCCAGCTGTACAAATAAGGGACTCATGCCGGAACATGGGTGTAGGAAACTAACGCGTCCCGCGGCCACAGAAAAGCTACCAAACAGCCATTAGAAAGCCACAATCAAATGAGAGACAATCACGGAATTTTCACCTTTTCTGAGTTAGCGGCGGAAAGTGTGTTAGGCTTATTTGACTGTGTTTTTGGAAACTAGGCTACGTGTGCTATTTATACAGTAGGAAGTGGAAATTATGTACCGTGTTAAAATTCGTTTTCTAAAATATAATCTGTCAGATCCATCCTGGGTATGACCGAACAATAATTACGTTAACACAGTTTAGATTATTTTTAATGCATAAATGGTAGCAATTATTACTATAAAACAATATATATACTATAATAATACTATAAAACAACAACAACAATAATAATAATAATTATTATTATTATTAATAATAATACATTTTCTCACACGGTCGCCATCAAGTGGTGGGTCCTGGAACTCCTGACTTAATAAGTACGGTTATCAAAATATACACTTGGCGGCCACTTTATTATGGTGCACCTTCCCAAACAGCGAATCATGTGACTGAAAACATGTAGAGCACGCAGCCAAGACCAATATGCTCATTGACTGTTTAGCTAAGCACTGGAAAGGCTAAGACACCAAATCTAAGCTAATTTAAGCATGATGTGATTGTTGGTGCCGGACGGGGTGGTTTTGGCGTCTCAGAAACAGCCACCATCCTGGGATTTTCACCTACGACCGTGTCTAGCCGTTTAAGGAGAATTGCGCGATAGACAAAACACATCCAGTCAGTGACATCGGTTCCATCCATCCATGTTCTGTTGACGAAAAAAACTAATTTTAATGAGACATGTTAGAGGAGAACGGTATAAGAATTTCAGAAACGTATTTCTGAAATTCTCAAACCTCAGAAGTTGGTCTGACCTGGTCCTGAATGTATCGTTCTTCCTCTATTACCTAGTGGTTTACACGTGTACTGTTTGTTTTCGCAGAAAGAGACCTTCAGGAGGTACAGAGGGGTTTAACGTTAATTTACATATATGGACAGTACAGAGACAACACAGTACTGGGCAAACAAGTATCATTTGGAGAAATCTATAAGTAACCAGTTTTTTTTTTTCAAACAAAGTATCTTACCATAGCGCTAAATATAGGTAAACATTTCCATTGCGAGAGGTGATAGAAACGATGCCTAAAATAAAGCCAAACATTCAAGCATTGGGCAGTTGAAATTCCCCCGTGGGTTGAGAAACCTGAGTGTTAATATAAGACTCGGGGGAGGGGGGACTGGAGGGGGCGGATTATTATTTCCACACATGGTAAAAGATGCAACAGATGACCTATTGACATGATTATACGCTATAGCATCAATACTGTAAATCTTTGTAATGTTTTATGGGGGAGGGGAGAGAAGTATTTCTTTTTTTGTGTGTCCTGATTTGGGAATTATAAAGTACACATTACATCGTCAACAAAACTTACAAATACATGAGTGGCAAGCCAACCAGTATGTAGTGTAACCTATTTAACGTTTGCTCTGACTAACGGCTTTAGTTATAAGTAACCTTGGCCAACCATGTTTAATATGACAGCACACGGCAGTGCAAGAGAATAACTGTCAGAAGCTCTTCGGAGTATAACTGTGACGGCATTCCTCACAATTACTCCAGGAACTAACATTGCCTAGTTTTCATTTAAAATATTATCATTATCATTAACACGATAATGGTATTTAACAAATAATTGAAATGATGGCTGTAGCAATATAGTAATACAATAGTGTCATAAATTGGCAACTTTTTTGATTTATAGCCACACTCACCTACACTTTTCCTTTTCCTATAATTTCTTTCCGTTACCTTACCGCGTTTTTCCTGCGTCAGCGTCAGTCGACTTACATTCTGCGAAAAGAAGCGCGAGACAATGAGATCTGTCTTTTTCTCTTGTTTGCAAATCATCCCGCAATCAGGCATACACACACACACAATGAGTTTCGGAGAGACGAACGGCCATCGGGTCGGACATACATTTTTACGCCAGGAACAGGCGATACTGTCATTTTTTATTTGGCGAAGGGCAGCGGTGATGCACGTGGCAGGGAATTTCCCCCGTTTTCATAAATCAAGGGAAAGTCAATGACCGCTGTCTCCATTCATTAAGCGCAAGCCACGCTGCTGCATAGGCTTTATGGACGTGTCTCCCTGAAGTATATCATTGACATTTAGGAAATGCCTGTGAATAAACTAATTGCATTATACCTGAAACGTGTTATCATTGGGAGGTAGCCAATATATTATTACATTATTTTAAAAATGCTTTTTGTGAGTAAGAGAAGATTAATGTGGTTAAATTGCAGGACACAAATACAATACAAAGGCATATAATGTTCGGTAAAGACATGGGTTCAATTAGCTAATTAAGTTTACAGCGCGGCTTTGTAGTATTGGTACTACATTTGCAAGACACGCTTTCACTTTCTAAAAAGCATTTTGTGAGAACGCATATTTCGCAAAAGCTTTACAGCGGGAATCGTTTCACACAAGAAATGTTATGGTGCGAGATTTTACGGTAAGTGAAATTCAGAGTTAGGCCTTCTTATAGGCCTGTTGTCTGGATTTTAAAAGCGAGTTTGAAAAAACCTAATTGTCTTAAATAGTTTCTAGGATATTAACCGCAGTTTTAGAATAGCATGGTAATTGTGAAATTGTGCAGTATTATCAGGAATGCTTTTACTATCAATATTTTCTCGCAGTATTCCGCCTGCCACAGACAGATGGCAGTCTCCTGCATTTAGTAGGCCTACCTATCCCCACTGCAATCCACTTCAAGTGATCTATCCAGTTACGGTCGCGATGTTGCGGACCTGCATCCAGGATAGTTCTGCATGGATGTTTCTTGTATATTACAGTTGCCGTCAGAGTTACGTACAAAGTACAGAGGAGGGCTTTGTGCTGTTTCCTCTCACTGAAGTGGTTAGATGGGGGAAATAGCTTTATATTTTATGTCTAGGAAAATTGCACATTAAGATCAAAAAACAAAAAAGGTTACGGGTGAAAAAGGCAAAACGGATTTTGTGCCTCTAGACATTCAGCTACTCATTTACGCGACTAGAAACAGGAACGTCGTGGTATTACTAGGTTAATTAAGGTCTGAGTCATCCAGGTTAAGTCTTAGTGAGAAACTTCGACGCACTCGCTTTTCCTGGGTGTAGGTGGTCTATTTTGGGGTCTTTTCAAAATCTTTTTCAGTGGAAATAGTTGCCATAACGTAATAACTGTAGTCTTCTTTCATAATGTAATATATTAACATACAGGCCTATATTATAAATGTATATAAATACATGCGTCTCCAATTATATTAAATAGTTTTAAAAAGAGGTAATGACGTCTATACTACATTAGATTGAATATGATTTAAAACGAATTGACTGGATAATCCTTCTATTGCTGGGGTGTATTCTCTAATTGCTTGGATAATTAGGGTTGTGCGGTGTTGATCTGATCTCTGTAAACTCTAGGGTCGGAAACAGCATCACACGCCGCACATTGAACATCAGCGTTACTGAATATATCAGGCTGAGAACAAATAACGACAAATGTACTGCATTGCAACGTTGTACCGATTTAAAGGTGCAAGTCTGCACGATGTCATTTAATGAACAATGTAACTGTAACTGTTATTGCGACAACGACTTTTATGGCACCTGACCCTAGACTGGGACATCACAAAAGCAATAAAGTTCCTTGACCCAAAACATTCATAAGTGCTGTACTGGAATTAAGGTGTATGGGTTGATATTTCACGTCCGTTAGCTTAATGCCATTCTTGCATGTGTGTGTGAGCCTAGAATGCTCGCCTACATTCACTGTCTGACTGTCTGTATAAGGCTCCATTTTCCAAACTACAGCTATTAATACACAACATCAGCCTTTGCTCTAGGCTGACAACAGACATTTGTTCATGCCATCGCTTTCACAATCACTGCTCTTTCATAGTATGAATGCTATCCCCTGTGCTTGGCTAAATGGAAATTTCTCTTTCATCAATGCATTTTGCTAACTTTAAAGATGTTGTAAAATAAAGGCAAGACTTATTTGTCTAAAAGCTCCAGGTAAAAAAAAATAAAAAATCAATTACCCTGAAAAATGTATTGCAAATACTTCTGCTTTTATGAATGATAAAAGTTGGAATTTTAAAAATATATATCTAAATGTTTACATAACTACAATTTTCAGTGTTTGCTGGTATTTGAGAGAGTGAGACTTTTTATCTTTGCTTGCCTTTAACAGAAAGGGAGGGATTTTAGCTTAAAAGGAAATAATATCACCACTTTACAAATATTTTTTCCCACTATATTGTTTTTTACTACTCTGTATTTGCAGTTTACTGCTGAATTAATGTTGTGCTTCTTCCTGAGCCTATCTATGATGTCAGTCATTTAGCAAGAGACTGGGATCTAGGGTGAGTTGCCTGAATGTCATTTTTAAGTTATATCTTTTAACATAGAACTTACGAATAACGTAACGTTAAGAAGGCTTCAGGAAACCCAGTCCTGGTCACTTAGCTGTTACCTACAGGCTTTTCCATAAACACTGGCTAACCTCATGACCCA